TTCACCTATCCCTCCCCTGGCCTGATAGTCCCTTTGCAGGTGTGCCATGCTTTAAAAGGGTAGGAAGAAAATCACTGGGAAGAAGTCATAAAGAGACAAATTTCACTTCCATAAGAGAAAGAAGTTTTTAACATAGGGAGTAACCGGTGACAGGCCTCACGGTCTGTTTTCTAAGGTGGAGGGACTGGAATGACAGCAGCAAATGCGGCCTTGGCCATCCTGCCAGGATGAACTGAAAAGGGGAGATGAAAACCCGAGGGGGCAAGTCAAAGCAAGCCAGGGGACTGGCTCACAGAGAGAGGCAGTGAGGAGCCACCGCCTAGAAAGTCAAGCATAGATGTTAGGAAAAGTGGTCATTAAAATCAGTCACCTGAACTCCAAGCCATCAGGTATCAGGAGACAAGTGCCTGAGAGCTCAAGGAAGTGTGCCAGACAACTCAGAGCTGACTGCATGGTGTTTCCCACCAATGCAACAGGTTATGTCTGATGGGGTGTTAAAAGTGCCCACATGGCAGCCAACAACAGATCTGGGGAGGTCACCCTTATAATTAAAACATTAATGAACATCTGCAGTAAACTGTCGATTTCGGAATAAAGGGCAAATTCCACAGTCTGGAATGCAGGCCTATCACACTACTTTGTGCTTTCCTTCAATAATTTTACTTTTGTTACTTTATTGCTGAAAGATCTATTCTCCCCCCAACCCCAGTTTGAAAATTAAGGTCCTACCTGGCCATCAAAGTTCAGGTCATAGGAAACTGTTTCCAAAAATCCTTCTTATAGATCTCCAGCCAGTTAATTTATTTCCTCCACCCTCTACTACAACTGAGGACTCAGATCAGAGTGTGGTGACTAAGGAATAATTTACGACAGAACACCTTAGTTTAAAAGCTGTGTATATATGTGCATCTCCCAAACTTGATTCAGAGGTACTGCATGGGATCCATCATCTCCTTATCTTTCAACATCACCTCACCTGCCAATAGTCATCCGTAGTATTTTGTTCAACTGGAAAAAAAAAAAAAATAAGGAGGTCCAAACAAAAGAAAGGGACTTAAATTATGATCTCTAATTCACTTGTAAAGCTGAAATTCTATGAGACATTCTCCCCCAGTGAAACTACTCTAAGCGATACTATAGATCTGCCCATTAGCTGGCTGAAATAAGAACAAATTATTGTGGCATCAGATCAGAACAATGCTATACAGTCCCAAGATCGAGACTCAGGGCACTAGAACCATGATGGCAACTTCTAAGGCTACAATCCCTAGTGTATGTGCCTGACTTACAGAAGGTATTTATTTCATAATGGGTCACTAAACTCGTCACTCCCAAACCTCACAGGTCCTGAGGTCAAACTGATCCTGACAGAAAAGAAAAGATAAAGCCCTCATTTGATTTCCAAGACTCACCTGTTTTCTCAAAAAAAAAAAAAAAAAACTAAAAATAAGAATTTTTAACATTAAATATTTGCCTTTTGCAAAAATGAAAAAATAAATAAAAGTGCCTAGCAGGTATCAAAAATTCAGGGCACCAAGCAAAACCCCAGCAGCACCTGGTCCTTCCACATAAAAGCTTGTAATGCCCTCGTCTGAACGTCAGAGCCTTGCAGATTGGCGGACTAATGCAAAACCATGTGCAATGTGCAAGGCCATCTGATGCAATAGGAGGGACAAGCCCAGAAGTCAAGATTCCTCAAAATCAGGTATGGATTAGAGGATCCCTACCTTCTTGGGACTCAGTTTCCCCATTTGCAAACACAGGGAATTAATTCATTTAGTAAATCCTTGAAGAGGCTGTAACTAATGGCTGGCGCCAGGGTTGGACTACATGATCTCTAAGGTCCCTTTCAGTGCTGAAAATCTTGTAATTCTTATAGTCAGACTTCATAGACATTCTTTTGACGCTGACCTGAAAATTTGGCTGGAAACATAAACAGACTTCTACATAAAAACACACATTTACCAGCTATAATTTGGACTTGGCAACACGAGGTTTCACCATGGCCGAGAGGAAAAAGTGCAAAATTTTCTCTGGTGACTATATTACTTTGGGCTTTATTATAGTTCATATTCCAAGGTGGTTCAAATATGGCTAGAGCAGGACCAAGTCACTATCACTCTCACACAAGAGAAGGGCATGCCCGTTTTCTTTTGCCCTTGCGCAAGCTTCCATATATTCAAGAATAACATGCCTCTCCTACCAGATCTTCACTTTCCCATTTGGCAAACTCGGTTTTATTTTTTTCCTTCCTTCTATTTTGCAAAATATATAAGCCAACATGGCAACCAGCTTTTTATTTCCTTCCTGTTAAAAAACCAAGTCATGGGGGCGCCTGGGTGGCTCAGTTGGTTAAGCGTCTGCCTTCAGCACAGGTCATGATCCCGGGGCCCTGGGATCGAGCCCCGCATCAGACTTCTTGCTCAGCGGGGAGTCTGCTTCTCCCTTTCCCTCTGCTTCCTCCCCCTTGCTCATGCTCTGTCTCTGTCTCTCACTCTCTCTGTAAAATAAATAAAATCTTTAAAAAAATTTTAAAAAAATAAAAAACAAAGTCACGGTTTTAGAATAGTTATCAGGACAAGGTGCATAGAGGAAAAGAGTATTTGTAATTTTTATGAAAGCGCAGGTTTGGATTTTTCTTAATTAAATCTTGTGGGAAAGCCTTATTATTACTGCTGTTGTTATAGTTACATAGTAATAGTTATAACATCAAAATATCCATATAGCCATTATAGCTTGGCAATTTCAAATCCATCTGTATTTCATCTAGGTACTAGAGGTAGGCAGATACCTTACTTTTAATTATAAGAAAAATTGGACTTAGTGTGTCCTGTTCAAAAGCATGTAACTAGAGGGGCACCTGGGTGTTGCAGTCATTTAAGCATACAGACATTTGGTTTCTGCTCAGGTTCTGATCTCAGAGTCATGAGATCAATCCCCACATGGGGCTCCAAGCTCAACGCAGAGTCTACTTGAGATTTCCTCTTTCCCCTCTCCCTCGCCCCTGCTCTCTGTGTGCTCTCTTTCTCTCTCTCTAAAATAAGTAAATAAATCTTAAAAAAATAAAACAAAAACACATAACTAGGGTTCAACTAGCAGTCAAACATAAGTCTTCTGTCACAAGGTCAAACAAGCTTTTTAGAACTAAAGATTCAAAATACAAGAAAATAGTTTCTATAATATTCTAAGAAAGCAAATAGACTAAGTGAAGTTTTTAATTATGTAAATTCAATAATACGTAAAGAACAGCCCAGGACCAAGTAAGAGCAAAGGTATATAAAGGACAAATTTAAGAGGTTTTTTTTGTTCATTGTTAACAAACAATGACTAAAAATAAGGAAAAATAATCATGTTATTTCTATTTGCCAACGGACCGATCTGTGGCACAAAATAAACATAAACTTGTACGACTCCTATCCATGTGGAATCTGAGCTTTGATTTTATAAGCTTGCTACATTTTATCAGCAACATTTTATAGGAAAATCAAGATTTTTGTAGGAAATCCATGATATGTATATCTAAGACACAAAATTTTTAAGACATAAAATTTTTAATAGATTTTAAAAGATCTAGGCTCCAAAGTGAATTGGAGATCACCGGTTATAACCAGAACATAATCATTTTAACTTATCAATAGTACAAAAAGTTTCTTCTGTTAAGTTCTCCTATATGAAAATACACTCCCAAGAAACTCACATGGTTACTCCCCTTTCCCGGCCTCCAAATCTTTGCTTAGGTGTTCCCTTCTCAGCAAGGCCTCTGGATCACTCTGTCCTCCAACCCACAGCCTTGATCTCATTCTAATGCACTTGGTATCAATGTATGAATTTTGTCTACATCCACCAGTTTCACTAACATGTGGGTTTCATGAGGGCAGAACCCTGTATGTCCTTTTGCTATAAAATTCCTAGTGCTATAAGGGTACAACACACACACAGACACATGGAATATCTCCTGAATGAATGAATCATTTCTTCCTTTGTCTCTCCCAACCTGAAATTTAGAAGAAAGAAAACCAGACAATGGACTAAACCATTTAACTAGTTCCCATGACTTTTCCTCTCCAAAACTTACTATGGGAAACTATAAATATATATAAAGGTAGACCAAATAATGTTGAGTGTTGCATGCACTCAACAATTATCACCTCATAACTCATCTTTCACCTGTCTTCTCAATCATCAGCTCCCTACTCTTATTATTTTGAAGCCAATACCAGACACAATTAATTTCCGCCCCAAATATTTTTGAGGCTTCTCGAAAACATAAGGGCTAGTTTTTCTTCTATATAGTTATAGTAACATCATCACCCGTAAAGTACAACAATAATTCTATAACTTTGTTATTTAGTTTTCCTTCCTGATATGAATAGCATTTAGATGCCTAAATGGTGGCATCTGTCACCAGTGACTCTACGTGATCACAGACTATTCCTACTGTTGCTTCTGATTCCAGCCCCAAGTTACTTGCAATCAACACTCTCTGGAGCATGACACTTGTATATAATCAATACATACTATAATGTGCATCCTTGACTTCACTGAGAAAAGAATACCCCAAGAAGGTTTGCTGGTGCTTTTGCTAGGAAGATACTGCTGACCAATTAAGACCTGCAGTGACCAACCAGAGCCTTAAAATATCACTCTTACCCATGCAGAATGCAATGTTTGTGGATAGAGAAACAAGGCAATAAAAAAGCATGGTTGGGTCCCCAGGAAAACAAGAAAATGTGGAATTCTCAAATGACATTCCTAAAAAAATGGCTTTGAGTTTCAAAACAAAATTAGTAGGTAAAAGGATTTCTGGAGCTTCCGAATGCAAGCCAGCAGAACTCTGAGAAGCTTCAGCTGGGGATGATGCATTAAAGTACCTTAGCTCTCTGTGAGTTGTAAAGCTCTCTTTAGGCTCTGGATAGATGTTCATCCACGACAGAAACAATCACTGAACTCAAGAGCTTCCTAGCACGGCTTATTAATATGACTTCAACCACACACCTTACCTGTGCCCTGAAAGCACCTTCATCAAGGGGTGGTGGAGGAGGGAAGTTTCCAGGGCTGGATGGAAGAGCACCAGGATCATCTAGAGGCGGAGGCGGGGGTGGAAAAAAGTCACCTACAGAAAGGAAATGCACACATGAAGTGAATACAGATGCAATTGTGGAGCACTCTTGAAAAACATACATTTGCTGCCATTTTTCTGCTTTGTAATTGACTTTGACATACAACTTTTTGTCTCTTAGAGCAACTATCCTCTATTATAGCTCTTTTCAGTTTCATCAGTAGCCTTAATTTTGAGAGAATGAGGACCAGATCTGATACTTAGAAGTAACATAAGAGCTAGTCTAGAGGGGGCAGGTATGTTCAGCCAGAACAGAGAAGGTGCTTGGGGTGGGGGATGGCTGAGGTGTGTAAGACTTGGTACTAACCCTCAGTAAAGTTTCAGTCAAGTACAGGAAGAAAAAAATGTGTATACAGATAAAGATAATAAAAGGTAAAATATCTTAAGATGGAGAAACAAAGTCTTCTGGAAGCTCAGATAAAGGAAATTTTATCTCCAGATGGAGGGAGCAAGGAAGGCTTTACCAGAGCATTACAAGGGCCCCTGAACATTATGATTACAGACACCAAGTCCGTTTGGCAGAAAGACAGCAGAACAAAGGCATCAGTTAAAACATCCAGGGCCTAGAGAATAAGGAGGAAGTTATTAAGATAGCATAAATATGGGAATGTAAAAGAATACTAGTAGGTAATAAAAATAAGTGCAGTGACAAAAAAAAAAAAAAAACTTCTAAGTGTGTTGCATGTCTAGTAAGTAGTTTGAATTTTATCATGCATGCAGTGGGGATCCAACAAGCATTTCTGAGAAGAAAAAACCTGGTTGCAATATGATTTACTAAAGACTAATCTAAAAGTACATGCAGGGCCAATCAGGAGCAACTGAAATAAGTAACATCATTGAAATCTATATACAATCCAGGCAGGATGTTATGAGGGGTCAGCTTATCAAGAAACCTCAACATCACCGACCAACCAGCACAGCATACCAATGTTATGTTGTCGTAAGAGAACACCTAATCTCTAAGATCTGAGGTGTACATATAAATCCAAGAGCTCTATGATTTCACACCATGGAATTTTTTTAAATACTTCACAAGAAATCCTATTAGGAAAAGGAAACTTCCATTTAAAAAAAAATTCTCTATTTGCCTTTTTCCTTCAAAAAATAATATTTTAATAATAATAAACAATATTCTTAGATAAGTAGCTTTTCTTTGTATTTCAGATGCCCAACACTTAACTGGTAAGGCAGCGGGTTCTGCCACTCAATGAGTTGCTCTCGGATAGTACCAAAATATCATGATTTAAGCTGTCCATAAAAAAGACTAAATGGCACAGTGGAAGGATGGTGGCTTGGATTCACTATTCTGATACACGTTGGAGATGGTTCACGTGGGCCCTATTTGTCCTATAAGTAACAGTCTCAGAGTTAGAAGAGTCATTGTCCAATCTAGCTCCCCACTATATTGCGACTACCAAGCCGTCAAACACACTATATTTAAGAGTACTGTGCTTTGTGGACTCTCACTATGCACCAATCACTGCTAAGATTTTCAAAGGCTACCTCTTAGTCCTCCAACCCTCTGTGCTGATGGTTCTCAAACTTCAGAGGTCATCAGGATCTCAGAAAGGTCTGGTTAAACACAGATGGCTCTGTCCCACCCAGAGTTCCTGATTCAGTAGGTCTAGAGTGGGGTCTGAGAATGTGCATTTATAATAAACGCCCAGGGGATGCTGATGCTATTGGTCCTGGGACCACACTTTGAGAACCACTGCATTTAAGCAAAGTATTATATTATTCCTATTTTAAACCCCATAGGATTAGAAAGGTTAAATGACTTATGTCATACAGAAACATTTCTGTTTCTCTTACCTTTCTGGATGTGCACATCTGGAGACATGCTTTATCCATATCCTTATTGGGGTTATAAGTCTCATAAACCTTCAGTAACTCTACCCAGTAGTTCTAAAAACTGGCTACTTACTAGAATCACCAAGAAAGCTTATCTAAAAATACCGATGCCCAAATTCCATCTCACATCAAACCAATCAGTATCTTGGGGATGGGGGAAAGGGAGTGGGGAGGAGGGGTCAGGTGCCACTACTCCTTTAAAACCCAAATGAGTCTAATGTGCAGTCAGAATTGAGAAACTATATTGGCCTTCCTTCGGTCAAACACTGCACTAAAAAAATATTTAACACCTGTTAAATAAAAAGAATTGTCACCAAGTTGTTTTCTGCCTTGAAAAGTCAGAACATATGAGAAGAATGCTCACAATGAGATCTTAAGTCATCAGCAAAGGAGGTCTAGGTTGATGGAGACTGGCCCTACCAAATTGTAGTGCACAGCCTAATTTGCTGGTTCACATGTTCCATCCGGACCTATGCCTTCTTCATACCTAACTTAAAAGAAGACTTCTAAGCACCTTCTTATACTTTACCACATTTTATTATGTCACAGAGAACTGCTAGAACATTAAACAGGATCAGAACTGAACGTAATCTCGGAGATCATGTTATAAAGGTAGAAACAGAGGCCCATGAAAGCCACATGAACAGTCCAAATTCTCAGCAAATTAGTCTTAGAATAAAAAGTACAACTGTTTGTCTCTGCAGTCCCTTCCAACTAGTCAGTCCCTGAAAAACATGGGTTTGAACTCCACAGGTCGACTGACACACAGATTTTGTACAGCACAGTCCTGTAAATGTATTTTCTCATCCTTATGATTTTCTTAACATTTTCTCTTCCCTAGTTTACTTATCTGTAAGAATACGGTATATGATATACATAACATACAAAATATGTGCAACCGAGTGTTTGTGTTATCAGCAAGGCTTCCGAAGGATCAACAGTAGCTATTAGTAGTTACTGTTTTGGAGAGCCAAAAGACATGAGGATTGTCAACTGCATCGGGTCAGTGCCCCTAACCCCCGCATCAGTCAAGGGTCAACTGTATATCCTTCCTGACTATATTTCTAACACAAAAACTGAATATATATAATGAAGCACAGGTTGGCGACAATCCTAGGAGGGTGAAAAGGAACAGAAAAGGAAGAAGAAATATATTTTTAAATTGAAAACAACAAAAATCTAGACTGCTTACTCTAGGTGAAGATGAGATTAAGATTTTTCAAAGGCCTAGGAATAAGCTCATAATAATTATCACATAATTTTCAGTTTTCCAAGCTCGACCATCATAGGCCTCTTCCTTCATTCTTTAGGGTGCAGCTCACATTTTAAAACAGTGTGGAGGAACAGGCAAATGCCTAAGCAACAGACACACCCATGATAAAGGATAGAAAATGGGTCCCTTGGAGGGAAACATAACTAGTTGAGATAGTTGGAATGAAAAGCTCTTCATAATTATCTTAAATCAGACAAAGAACTATTTCGAGAACTCTGATTTACAGTTCACCCGTTTAACAGGCCATTAAGCAAAAGAAAATGCTTCTAAGTTGCAGGAAAAATAAGTCTGCTTAAGAGAGAAAGCAAATTTCCATGTTTAAGGAAGATGGCAAAATGGAAAGAACAAAACAACAAAGTGTGTGTGTGTGTGTGTGTGTGTGTGTGTGTGTGTGTGTTGGGAGGATTCTTTCCATTTTTGCAGATTTTTTCAAACAATGAGAGAACATCTGGCTCAGAAGCTCAGGTGGTAACCTCCTAGAGAAACACATCTGCACAGAATCAGCTGCAGTACCTTGCAACTAGCTATGCTGAGCTGTAGACCTTCCCATTAGTACATGGCCTGTCCTCCTCTCTGCGTGCCAGGGAAATCCAGATGGAATTTTCAGACCCCATGAATAACAGGGGCATGGAATAAAATCAAGCAAGCAAGCCAAAAAAGAACACACCATCAGGCAACTGGAACAATGCAGGGATACATAAAATCTAAGATGGAAACATTTAGTTTTAGGAGAAGGGTTGGGCACCAGGGTGGCTCAGTCGGTTAAGCGGCTGCCTTCAGCTCAGGTCATGATCCCAGGGTCCTGGATTGAGCCCCACATCAGGCTCCCTGCTCAGCAGGGAGCCTCCTTCTCCCTCTGCCTGCCGCTCCCCCAGCTTGTGCTCTCTCCCTCTCTGTGTCAAATGGATAAATAAAATCTTAAAAAAAAAAAGGGGCTAGTCACAGCCGCATGCCTACAAACCTGGCTTCCTCCTTACCTTTTTCCTCACCATCCAAAGCCTACCCACATACAAAATACATTTATCCCTCACTTTCCAGGTAAAGAGTTGACTCAAGTTACACAGCTAGTGAAATACGGAGCTAGAAAGGGATCCTCACTGCATTGGAGAGAAGCTAAGAAGTATATCACTTAATTTGCTCTATATCATCCCAAAGAATTGATCTAATATTCCAAGGATTTTTGCTTTGTGCCAGAAATAGCACCATGGGGCAGCTAAAGGGTGAGTCGTGCAAAAGTATATATCCCTAACTCTCAAAGACCACTCTATGCCAACTTACTGCCACAAACTAGCTTGCAATGCATAGCATTAACCTGAGAAGCAACTGAGGCAAATCTGCCAATAACCCAGGCATGCACCCTTTCTCCAGCTACCCTTCCTAGTCTAAGGGTTAGAAGGCCATAGCACAAAGAAGCAGATATGGCTACCTGCTGGGGGCTGAGTTATCAGCCACTATAGGTGCCCTAGTAACATGGTTTGGGCATCTATGAAAGGCATCTATCCACCTGAATGCAGAGCTCACTTCTCTCTTCATCAAATCAAGGCCCCCATCAGAGGGAAAAAAATAACAAGAATTTACTAGCAAAGAAGGTGATAAATTACTAGTTACATGTGATGGTAGTGAAAAAACACAAGGGAATAATTAAACACAGATCATCAGTGAAGTCTGAATTAATTTACTATAGTAAAAAAAAAAAAACAAAAAACAGAAAAGCATCATTCTTTTTCTTCTTTAGCATCCATGTAAACCTGCACGCATACACGGGGATTCACACAGCAGCCGCTTGTGTGCCTCACAGCACACAAGGGTCTATCACAGCATCTCTAATACCTAGTTGCACTTTGGTGTTTATGACCATTCTCTCCTACTT